GTTAAACCCAGGTGTGTTAAACCCAGGTGTGTTAAACTCAGGTGTGTTAAACCCAGGTGTGTTAAACTCAGGTGTGTTAAACTCAGGTGTGTTAAACTCAGGTGTGTTAAACTCAGGTGTTTTAAACTCAGGTGTGTTAAACCCAGGTGTGTTAAACTCAGGTGTGTTAAACTCAGGTGTTTTAAACTCAGGTGTGTTAAACCCAGGTGTGTTAAACTCAGGTGTGTTAAGCAAACCTGTTGAAATAAGCAATAAATCAATTAATCAAAACTCAGGAGTTTCCATTTGCATGATTTATTGTTTTTCTCTTCCTACCAAAAGCTGGATGCTAAAAGTCTTCAGATCTTTTTGAAAGATAATTTTCTTTTCACAGAATAATTCATTATATTTGTTGTTTGTGTTGTTTTATTTATTTATTTATTTCGGAGTTTTAAAATGTCTTCCATTTAAATTTAAACATTATTGATCTTTGAGAATGTGTACTTATACCAGTATCATTGAACTTGTTTAATGGTCTCAAACAATAATAATCGATTATCGTAATAACTACTGGGACGATTTATTGTCCAAAAAACTTGTAATCGCGCCTAGTTTGCATAAACCTGAGAAACGATTCTTGGGTGAAAACACATTTCCAGGTTGCTAAGCGTTTTCTGATTTTATTAAATCAAACAAATTGGTGTCAAATAATCAATTCAGTTTTTTGCATTTGTGCTGCAAAGTTTTTTGTTTGAACATTTTGATGATGACCTCTGGGAACTTTTTTATTTTAGTAAATGATAGGGTCACAAACATTGGACACTTATTTAGTTAAATTTGACTGAAGCTCATTTTGCTCAGGTCCAGAGGAGTGACGGTCGTGACCTCTGACCTGGAAGATGATCAGCTGCGCCTCCTGCAGCTTGCGCTGCTCGGTGGTGATGTCATCGCTCAGGCGGCCCTCCGTCCAGGCCCGCATCGTCTCATCGCCGTACTGGAAGTGATCCGGGTTCTTCAGGTCGCCTGGGCAACAGAAACCGCATCAGCAAGAGGAGAAACTCTGCAGACAAACGGATCTTCACAGGAAACTGACCACAAAAATATAAAAGAATGAAGGAAAAGAACCACGAAATAACCTCAAAAAGGCAAAAATTAAAAGGAAATGGCTGTAAAATATGGAAAAGATCTGCAGAGATGCAGGAAAAAAGAAAAAAAAAGAAATGGAGAATAAGACATAAAAATAACAGAACAAAAAATGAACTGAAATCTGCTGGGAAATGAGCTGCTGGTCACGTTGCACAGAAAAAAAAATTCACAGTTATAACCATGTTATTCATAAACAGACTGAGCATAAAGGACGGCGACACAGAATCCATCAGGGAGGAGGAGGGGGGGGGGCGGTCACCGATGATGTCGTCCTGCGTGGCGCTGGCTCTGAAGTTCATGGCGTAAAGGTCAGACACGGTGACCCGGAAGCCCTGAGCCGACAGCTCCTGGACCGCCGCGTCCCGCAGCGCCGCGTTGAACGAAGCCGGATTCTGGTGGGCGAAGACGATCAGAGCCGCTTTCTGAGCTGGAAACACCGGAACCGGACCGGAACCGGTCCGGAACCGGACCGGAACCGGTCCGGAACCGGACCGAGCAGGTCAGAACAGATTTCACATGGAGGAGGAGGCTTTATTATTACCGTTATAAGTAGTAGTAATAACAATTTATTAATATTTATTATAATAATATTAGAAGTAATAATTATTCATAAAATATCATCATTTCAATCATTTTTAATAATAAACTTGTGTTGTATGATTATACAAAAATAAAATGCATTTCTTGCTTCAAATATCAAATTAATTTAATTTTTTTTTCTTTGTGCTCCAGTAATAATTTTTCATTTTCTGTGAGAATATACAGATTTTCTTTAAATTTAAAATAAAACACATGTGACATCTACCGCCTTGGAAACATAAAATAAATTCTAATTTAATGTCTAATATGTTGCAATAAAAATAAACAAAGTTTTTTAAATTAACCGATTTCTAAATTATTAACATTTACATGTCACAATATTGTCATATTAAGTCGTTTAATTCTGGTTGTGCAGGAAAAAACACACACAAATATGTTTCATTTTAGACTAAAATAAGAAATTTAATAAACTAAAGAGACTTTGAATCAAACTCTGAAGCGGCTCCTTCAGATAGAGCCAGGAGAGGAAACCTTACCCATGCTGAGTGTGTGAGCCGCCGCCGCCTTTAAATCCGGGTTTTTATCCGCGCTGAGGCCGGAGGAGCATGAGAACCGACCGGATCTGAAGTCCAGACGGAGTGGATGTGTGAGGAGCGCCGGGAGCATTTCAGCAGGAGATAAAGAGACTGCAGGGGCGAGCCTGTGTGTGTGTGTGTGTGTGTGTATAGGTGTGTGTGTGTGTGTGTGTGTGTGTGTATAGGTGTGTGTGTGTGTGTGTGTGT